GATCACTCTCAGTCAATCCATAGGCAAATATCAGAGCTTAAGCGGCTAACTAAACAGCTTCAAATTCAGGATGGGTTAGGTCTGGAAGGATGGCTGAAATCCCTGGGTTTGGGACCATGGCTTACTAGCCTGGTACAGCACCTGATTACCATAGGGATAATCATATTGATTGTGATTATTTGTGTGCCTTGTTTGATTCAATGCTTGCGACAGATGATAAATGATGCTACAGCAGCTACTCAACGAGCATTGCTTGTACAAAAAGAAAAAGGGGGAATTGTTGAGGAATGGCTTACTGATCAGGGTCATGGGTCTTTGGAAGCATTGTTCGAACAATCCCCTTGTTGATCAGAATAAGACAGGCTGTACATCATTTTGCAAGTGTTGCAATGTGTGCTGATGTGACAAGGACACTGTAATCTTGTCATCCTGCTCTATGTAACTTTAGAGAAGTTTCTCATAAGAACAAGGAAGAACCTTGGCAAGAAGGCAGAAATCTGTATGCAACCAATCAAAACGTGACAGCTGTACCTGTTGCTTGCTAAGTGTATAAAAAGCCATTGCAACAGAGAATAAACGGAGCTTCCTTTATCAATCATTGATTGTCTGCATGCCTCCCCTCGCCATCGCACTAAGCCAATCTTGGGATTAAAACTACGTGAAAATCTTCCAAAGAAGAGGCCAAAGAAAGATGTGCATCACTTTTGTAAGGGTGACAACTGGGAGCTATGCCAGGCCCTGTACAAAACTTGCAGGAGAGGTAGCAAAGGAACCTTCAAGGCACAATACCTCTGAAATAATCCAAACACCTGGAATTAAGCTAAAAAATTATTCAATCCTTGCAAGTGGCAAAAAGAAAAGAAACCTTTGGTAAGGAAAATGCATCCAAATAGGGCAGGAAATTAGTTTAGGTAGCAAGAAAAAAATGAAGGAGCAGATTGAAACTTGATGGAGCAGCTGAGCTGAAACAGCAGCAGGTGAATGCCTCATCCTGCAAAAAAAAGATACAAAAGTGCACCTTCGGCAGATATTTCAAGACAACTGCCAACTTGAATATAAAGAGACACAGTGGCATAATGTTCACATGGAATTTAATGAAGGAAATTACTATGAACATTTCAAGAAATACTTGAGGAGACCTCTCCACTGTAATTTTTGCAATAATTCAAGTTCCAGATATGAGGGGGAAAAAAGGGAACACTTACGCAAATTTTTACCCCATAGTAAGTCAAATAAATTAAGAGAGGTTTTGTACTTCATTAGCATCATAGTTCAGTGGAAATGAGCAAGGAGGGAGGCAGGAAATCTGGGGCTTGCACATCATCCAAAGGCCTGAGCATCTCATCAGAGATTACCTTTGCTAATTTAAAAAGTTTTTCAGACGAAAATTTAAAATATTTTCAGTAAAAACAATACTAGTGTTGTAGGTTCCTCCTCTTTTTTTCCAACAAAACCCACAAATATATCATGCAGCATGAGTGCAGGGCTGTGGGCTTACCCTGGCTAGATGCCACGTGACCACCAAAGGTGTTCTATCACTCTTCTTGCTCAGCTGTACAGGCAAGAGAAAATGTAAGGAAAGACTCCTGGGTTAAGAAAAGGACAGAGAGACATCATCCCTGCTCCTGCACTGGCCTGGGTTTGCGCAGGGCCGTTTCTCTCACGTATCCTCGCTCCTCTTGTCTCTGGCAATAATTACTTTTGCACAGTAACATTTTTTCATTCTTAAATGTTACCACGAAGTCGTTACCACCATCATTGGTGGGCTGAGCCTTGGCCAGGGGTAGCTTGGCCCTGGAGTTGTCTGGCATTGCCTGTCAGACACAGGGAAGCTGCTATGGCTTCTCACAGAAGGCATCCCAGTACCCACCCCCCACCACTATCAAAACATGGCCATAAAAACCCAATATAAGGCCGTAAGCAGCGTTTATAGCTGTAGCAACCTCTCTGCTTTACCTGTGAATTACCTTAAGAGTACGTAGTAAAGCTTGGTTGCTCATCAGGCAAATGTCTGCTTCTGCTAAGAAAATCAGCCATAATAAAAGGCAGAAAGCATTTGCTGGATGCAAAAAGGCCTTGGCAATTATCACTTAATTGTCCTTCATGGGCCAGTACTGAGAGTCTCATACTTACCCCTTAAGGTCACTTCCCTTCTTCAGCACTTTTCTTAACAGTCTATTTAATTAGTCTTCCTTCCTGGGTTTAATTGTGAATTTGTTTTCATTAATTAGCCTCAGACCTCACTTGGCACTAACTGAAATACAGGAGAAGTGCTTAGTTTCTTCAGTGTATAGGCTACTGCATTCTAGGGGAGTCCCCTCTTTGTCAGCAATAAAATTTCAAGTTCTAATAGTCGTTGAAAAAAACTTTTTTGTAATTAACTTTCAATTCTTGTAATTACCGCCACTGTACTAAACACAAAAGTGTTGCTAACATAAAAAAAAGGTAAAATTCATTAAATTCAGGCCTCTTCTTCAGTGGATTATACATCAGGATAATTAGCTGAACCCTGTAGTTTTAGATAAGATGACATAATGCTCTTAAATGCAAGTGATCAGATCACTACTAAAATCCCAAACCAGGAGTGTGGGTTACCAGCAGACACACTGTGTCCTTGTGGCACCAACACCAGAAAACCTTTCCCATATCAATCTTTTCAAAGTTATTAAGCTTCATTGAAAATGCTTTATGTAACCTAAACCAGTCAGCCCGTAACATCTTTGAGCATTAACACAGAGCTCTTCATGATGTTTGCACCTCTCATATCACTCCTTTCCCCTCCCTCTTTATGACATGTTGACTCCAGAAGACACCCTCACAGCATTACCATGCATCTTTTTACCATTGATCTTGATCAATTCTCATTTCAGATACTGTTATTGAAAACACAGGAAAAGGCATCTTTAAACAGAAAAAAAAATTTGTAAGCTAAATGAACAAATATGTGTTAACAGCAGTCATTTATTGAACCATTTAATAAACTTCCTAAACATTTGTCAAGAGTACTGGAATTCTTCAGTTTTCAAATTGAAAAGTCCATACCTATCAAGCTGCAAAGAGAAATTAAACATCTTATTCTTGACATTAATATTTTTTTCTGTGAACACTTTTAGACTTACATCTCAACAGTCAGGCTGACAAAGTAAACACTTTGTCCCTTACAGCTCCTTGTTTCAATCACTGCTGCTCTTCTGCTCCAAACAGGACTGCAGAAGGAGTGCAAAGTACCTATGGTTTTACAGCTTTCATGTTGTACCTTTACTTGGGCACAGAAGCTCAAGTGAAGCAGATCAGAACAGGAACTTTGTGAGTGGGTTCAAAAACACAGAGCAGCTCTGCAGGCAAACCTTTTAACATATTTGTTTCCTAATAATCTGCAGCCTACTGTTCTGACTGATGATCAACCACGTTTTCCTCTTAGAACTGGACCATAGGACACACTTTGGTTGTCAAATCCTAACTGAGGCTCATCCATGCAACCCAAAAAGTTTGCCTTTAAGATCTCTTCTAACTGTATTTGTGAACATCTGTGAAGTGACAGAATTCTGCCAAGGAAATGTACTAGCTTGGAAAAACTAAAATATTCAGTTGCAACAGCTGTCAATACCATTAAAGAGGCATGATCCATGCTCTTCAGTTAGATGTATCATCTGCAATCAATCACCACTTAAAGTAAATCCTGATTACAAAAGACATCATGCAGAGTCTATAGAGCAGTAGAAATACAAGAAATATTCCTTCATGCTGAAATGCCTTTTAAGCTGTTATGAAAAGAGGAAATAGCTCTTTTGGTTTATTGCATTTCCCAAATGTTAATTTAAAATCGTCTGCAGATGACCAATTTAGTTGTGCACTTGAAAAATAGAATAAGCTGTATCTGTGCCTCAACAGTTTGCTTTATTGGTCCTGTCTATTTTGTCTGTAATTACTCAGCTCACAATTTATTTTATGTTTACAGAGTTGTACAAATATGGATGTGCACACATATCTGACTGTTCTGCAATCATTCTTCTGCTAATTTAAGCTTCAAAAAGCTTTGTTTAGTAAAGCAAGAACAGCTTTCTAACCAAATGAAACTACAAAAAGATAGATTTGCAAAATAACTTCCTAACCTGTAATTTTCTGAAGGGAGGCAAAGCCTTCAAAACTTTGACTTTTTATTGTAACATGACTTCTCAGTTAAGCCTCTTAAAACAAGCCCCTGGATGTTACCATAGTACCTTCTATAGAACACATGAACCTATTAACATGAAGCTGAAAAATGTGACTCAGCTTTTGTTTCCAGCTCTCTCAATTACTGTTGATAAAAAGCAATTAATAGAAATACTGAAACAGGGATATCCACCAGGATATCAGTATGTATCTTCCACGAACAGTAAGTGTATCTCACAGACAACAGAAAAGGCCATGTCTCTTTCAAGACAAAGATTCCAACTTCACAACAGGTAACACTGGTTAACCAACTTCAGCCTAGCTCCACAAACACCTCGCTAAACCACAGTAGCCAGTAGAAGTGAGATTACTCAGCAGAGTGAAAAATAGGCTGGCAAAAAGAATCACGCATATGCAGGAAAACACTAATCTCACATCTCAGAAAAGGCTTACTTCTTTGCAATATCCTATTTGGCCTGCTATATACAAAAATGTAGGAAGCAGGAACCAAAACAAGACCAGGCAGGGGTGAAATACCAGCTGCTGCTTCCGACTAACAACTGACTGACTGACACACTGCACAGCTCAGCAGCCATAGGAGTCCTGGCACATTTTCCTGCATCCCCTCACTCTGTATTTAGGCTAATGACACAGCAGCAATTTTTAACAAGTGTCAAGTTGAAGAAAAAAATTTGAAATGCAATCCAGACTAACAGTGAACAGCCCAGGTCCTGCCATGCACTAAAGTTTTAAAGAGCAATTTTGTGCAAGTGGCTGCAACAAGTACAACATCCATGTAACTGAATGAACTCAGCAGCGATCAGCAGTTAAGTCCTACTGCAAATAGCAATTGATTTGCATCTCCTTGCAAGAGAATTCAACTAAATTTATCTTGACCTGTAACAGACTGCTCTTCTTGCCTTTCAAAAACCAGACCCTAATGAGCAGAGGTCAGCAAAGAACTAAGAGCTGTGCTTGAAGCCCCATCTAGTGACAAATAATAGAACTGTTGCTAAACCAGAGCAATATGCAATAAACCAGAGCAATAAAGGAACATTCCTTGGCAAACCTGACAATGTTTCTTAAAAAAACAGTAAACCACAAACGTATTTAGATGTAGTCCAGCTGCAAAATGTTCTCTGCAAACTATACAGGACATTTCTCTCAAGAAACAAACCAGCCAAAATAGCAACAAAACCATCCAGCCTAAAAGGCGACATACTTTACTAAATCTGCCCTGTTCCCTTGACACTCCCATCCATAGAATTAGGAAAACACAAACAGGCATGCTGACCTGAAACCTGCACTTGAACATCTGCACTTTCCAGCCTGTGTCAAGAAAAGGTCTGCACACATTAATTCTGCTTAAGAAAGTATCCTGAAGGACTCCGCTCTCTTGACTCAAAAGAAAACTGCCTCACGACCTTGCTGCCGAGTTGCAGAGAGCAAAGACACATTAGTGTCTGATATGACATGAGTAATGTCGTCACTTCTCATCCCAGCCCACCAAATGAAAACACATCCCTGGCAAGCAGCAGCCTGCTGAGCCCTACCACAGCATCCACCCACACTCTCCTTTAGGACCATAAGCCCTGCAGTCCATCCACATAAATTCCCTATGCTAATCCCTTGAGTATCTATCCTTCTGCTAACCAATCTGTAGACAGCTAGCACAGAAAACAATTTGCAGGACATTTTTGTTCAGAACTCCCTGGCCATTGACACAACTGAAAAGTTTTCTTGTTCTGATTTTCAACTGGAACCGATTTGCTGCTGGGATCAGACACCATCACATCCACGGCCTGACTGCTGGAAGACCTGCTTGGGTTTGAAGCAGAGTCCTTGGTTTTAATCCTAGCCCTGTACTTTTTCCAAGTGGCAAAGTTCCAGATCTCTGTAGGCCTAAGGAGTTGAAAGATTTAAAAACTAAACATTTTAGTGGGTGGGATTTCCTCAAGCAGTGAGACAGCACGTGTGCCCATCTGGTAGCTGGTATGGCTCCAGCACAGGAAGGACATTATCTGAATCTTGCTGACTTTGAAGAGACCAACCCAAGCCCAAAATTTAGAAAAGCTGCCAACATCAAATTTGTATCAAGTAACTAAATGACTCTTTTTTAACTTTTAAACTGCTTACAAAAGTTGAGGCTGACAAAAAAGGACTTTTCGTGTAGTCTGAACTCTGACACTAGTAGTTTGTTTCAAGACAGAACTGAATGGCAATAGGCATGCTCCTGCTTCACCTTCTCAGGGTTATGCATGACTTAGCCATGAATGGAAACAGAGCATGCAACCTCTACCAAGTATTTCCACTGTCAGTCTACACATGCACCAACCATATGAACTACTGCTTGAAAGAGAACGACAGTATTTGAGTACTAGCTCAAATTCCCCAAACCAAAGGATCTTTCACAAAGGCATGGTAATCTTGGTGTCCAAGCCCTTTCACCGACACAGGAAGAGAGCTGACAGCTGAAAGCCAATTCCCCTTTCCTACTTTAATGTATACTCTAGATTTAGTATAAAGATTATGGCCAAGACTGATTACAAGGTTAGTGCTCAATCCTCGAGTCCTTAGAAGTTCACAATTCCAATTCAATTTTCCTTATCTCCTTCTCTTCAAGGATAGCAATGACCAGAGAGAGAAAGCAGCATACGAGAATAGCTGCAGTTTATCCTTATCTTTAGTCAGAAGGAACCTCGAAGAGCTTGGGAGACAAATGCTATGTATACTATCTGCTGTCTAGACTTGGCTTCTGGAGTATACAGTATAATTACAGCTTTCCCAAAGGTGCCCATTATCATCCAGGAACTCAGCAAGCAAATCAAAAGGAGATATTAAAGTCATAAGTTTGGCAATGACCTATCACTGTTACACAAAACAAAGCTATCAACAATGTTCAGAGCAATCGGGCCATAGCTTCCACACAAAAGACACAACTGATAAGCTCCTACTTAAGAGCTCCCATTTTCCTATTCAGATTCGAGGTACTAATCATCCAGCTGCCAGACAAAGAAGGGGCGCCTGTCGTTAACATATGAGAAGTCAGCTGGACCCCAGCACAGCAGCCTTACAGCAGCCTATCTCCTAGACAACAATTACTGGTATTCAAACAGCAGATTTGCCATTTAAACAGGGATTATTCTAAGCAGGTTGTACCAGGCAGTCGTTAAGACTACCTATGAGATGTTAGCTGAAGATGCCAGTTTTTTCAAGTGCTAAGCATCTTTAGGGAGATTAAGCATATTGATACAATTTGGAGCAACAAATATACCCACACATTTCATACTTTTATCTTTCTGTCACTGGATGGCACAAGAACAGTAACTGATACAGAGCAAGACCCTTCAGTATGTCATTTCAGTTCGACAGCAAACTACCAACATTCTTCCGGGCTGTTTTTCTCAACTCTTCTTATGTTGATTTCAGCTGCTCTGTATTTATTTGTAACATTAAGGTGGGCCCGCTCAAACATTTTTGTACGTAAAAAGAACTTCAAAACATACAAAAAACTGCCAAATGTTTAACCAAACTTCTTCGAGGAAAAGTTCTTCATCTGTCTTTGATTTGTGTGAAGAAAAAAACACTGTCTTCATTCAGAAGATTACGTATGCTATATTTATTTCCTACAAAGAAAAACAGAATAAGTTTTCCTTAGGAGCCACTGGCAATTTTTGAAGTCCTCTCCTGTCCTCAGTCAAGTATAGTTTTATTTTATACATATTTAACAGAAGGAATATTAGCTCTTAATCTAGGATGCCACTCTTACAGGCAAGTCAGTGCATTCCAAAGAGATGATAAGGAATACAACTAGTGTAATTTACTTTGATCTTTGCTTAGAAGTTTTTTACTGAGAAGAACGTAACAGGCACGAGCTCTCACTCTCAAAACCCACAATAAAACTTTAAGGTGACTGAATTTACTTCAATTTATTCTTACAGAAACTATCAATAAAAACTGCACATGGAAACTTATCTGCAGATCTTCACTTGAGATTTGCACATCAACATGAACACAAAATAGAATTATCTAATAGGCCCTGAACACCAGGAATGAGCAGCATCCTCACACTCATCTACAGCCACACGATGAATTAAAGGGATCACCTTCCACGAACACTGCACTGCCCATCCAGTCATATTGAGACTAGCCATCAGGAAGCAGGGAAGAATGAAGTGTACATCCTTACGGTGATACAAAACTTTCAGCATTTTATATAATCTATTTTTCCAAAAAGCAAATGACAAAATTGTCTCTGCAGACCTGCTAGACTTTTAAGACTGAAACACCAAAAGACAGATTCAAAGCACCAAGCATTAACTGAGCAATGATTGTTCAGTCAGGACACTGTGCTGAAAAGTTAACAGGGAAAAAAAGAACTAATTCCTCATTTTCTACAGATAGGCCTCTTCACAAGAAAGCTGTACAAAAGCTCTCTAAAGCTTCATGAACAGCATGCTTTAACACTACAACAAAATCGCTGGACTAGTGTCTCAACCCACTGATCAACAGCCTCCCATATTGAAGTCATGCCATTTTTATATCAGAAGGACAAAATCAGGTCTTTAAATTCTCAAAAAAGAAGTTACAACTTATTCAACAAGATAGTTTGAACCTTCTATACACAAGCGCAAAATATGGTAAACTGATCCAAATGGCTTTTCATAATTTTACATAGGAAAAAAGCAGCAAGCATATGGTGATGGAAATAATTATATTAATTACTAGTAAAATTAGGGTGTCTGTGTTGTTTCCACCACATTACAGCTAGTGACAGAACCAGAATATACCAAGACAAATCTACTCTTAGAACTTGGTAGCGTCATCAAAATTTTGAGGCCAACTCATATAAACAAGTGGTATGTGTATCCCTACATTCAACCACTAGATCATTAATGCATGTCCAGTGTTTTGTCCCATTCCATTTTTCATCAACCTGTACTGGCCCATTCTCTATTCAATCATTCTGTCTGGTTTTGATTCCTAGCATGCTAATTTAGTCTCCTGCACCTCCCAACAAATGGGTTTCAGACACATGCACTCACCTGATGGAATATAGAAGCAGTCCCCTGCAGCCAGGTAATACGACGCCTTATGTAACGTTACAAGAACTTTGCCACGGATAATACGGAAAGCCTTAATTGAAACCAAAGGGTTGTAAGGTTAGCAACATTTAAGAGAGATATCCAAGAAAACACTTGAATACATATAACAAAGATAAATTCCAATCAGCCAGCAGAGCTGCAATCCTTTCTCCCCATACCGATGAAAAACAGGATGCACAACTCAAAAGGGGATGGGGTTCAGCTTTATTTTTCTGGTATTTCTATCTTGCCTGCAGGATCCAGAAGTAGGAGCACATGGACATGCAGATTTAATACAAAGCAAAGCATGGAAATGTGCACGCAAAGTACCTTCAGCAAACATTTCATTAATGTTTATTTGTTCTAGAGGGTGAGGGGACCTCTCAACTTCATATGTTATTTCCAACCGCCCCAACAGATCTTCTGTTTACAAAGCCCATTTTATAAAATAAAAAAAAATTTAAAAGCACACTTACTACTGTATCCGTGCTGACACATTGCTGCCCTTTTTCTTTATGTGGTTTCAGAACCAATATACCAGTTGCAAAAAGAGATGTATTCAAATCTTTGTATATTTCTACTGCTTCACTTTTGAGGAGGGAAGTACCACTGCTTGCAATGTTTATACAATCTACAAAAAATGTCCAGGAGATTAACATTAATGCTACCACATAATTAGTCTTGTTACATGCTCAGTGCAACACACATATCGTTTCAGTGTAACACTTCCAAAATTTAGACTTAATATTTAGCTGAAAAATCAGGACACTTCTTGTGTCTCCTTCAGAACTTTCTCCAGAAGACCAATGAATATTTCAAAACCTCACCTTTTTATGCCAATGTGGCATGAAATTTTTTTTCTTCTAAGTCTACATAATTCAGGAAATCCCTTGGTCACATCCATTCAACTCACCTAGAGGCACTTCCCTATTTGTTACTGGGTCCAGTACAATGGCTAGATTAGACGCATCAGCTAGGCTGTGCTCCAAACTTGCAGGTATCTCTCCTCTATCTGAGGACACAAAGAAACTGTGTTCCAAACTTGCAGGTGTCTCCCTTCTACCTGAGGACACAAAGACAAAACAAAACTTGAAAAGTAATCAATATAGATCTTAAAAGGTTAATCATTTAACCACAACTTTTCCACAATTCTAATATCACACATTGAGTGCTTAAATTTCCTTTAATAAGTGGCTAAACAGACTGAATACTCTGAAACCATCCACAACAATTCTTTGAAAATGTCTCTTTCATTGAAATAATTTCTGTATGTAATAGACAAACACTCTCTAAATCCTAAGGAATTTCCTAGGGAAATGCCAACTATTTATCCTATGCTATTAACAGTATTTACTCAAAATTAAACTGTGTTTTAAGAGAAATGTTTTTCTACCAACAGATGCTGAGAGAATATGAAACACATGATGAAGTGTGAAGAACAAGTGTTTTTGCTCAACCTACTGTTGATAGGCATCAGGAGACTTAAGAGAGATTAGCACGTGTCCAATTTTTCTTTTCTAAAGAAATAACATCATAGGAATCTCACTGTAAGTTGCAATTCTGAGAACTATTGCTCTAATAAAAAGGATTTTTGCAGAGAAAGAAATATCCTAAGAATTTATGACAACACTATGCTTTTCAAACAGAAAAGAGATGCTTTAGAATATTCATGGCAGAATAAATATTCCAAAGCTCTCTTGCAGAACTCTCTTAAGCAGACAATTTTACTCTACAGTGCACAGGAAATCTCTTTAAGCACAGACAGAAGAAGCATGCAAAAGGCAGGCTACTTTGTAAGCACTCATGGCAGCTTAAATACTCTTACAGCAAGTCAATCAGGGGGAGGAAGAAAGTTATTGCGTTTGAACAGCTTAGTTCCAACATAACCATTTATCTGTAAAAAGAAGCATCAACAGGTCTTTCATAAACAGAATTTTTATTGTATCAATACCATTTAAGAACTTGTGCCAGAAATTTTACTTGGCTGACAGGCCTTAGGTTCATCACTAGAAGTCAAGGATGCAAGCAAAAGACCATCTCTGAGGATGAATGCCTGTTACAGAGGAAATCAATCACTTCTGGAAGACAGTTCAAAGGCACTCGAAGCAACCAATAGTTCTTGTAAGCTACAGTATGAACAGTCACTACCAGCTCTGGCTGTCATGGGCTGAAAATTATTTATATTACAATATAAACTGTACTTTGATCAAATATTGATCTAGACCAGGGTCCTGTCTCCCATCAGTTGCCCAAAGAAGGTAGTCCTTCCATTCCTCAAAATGCCATAATAATATAATGACACTTCAATAGAATACTTTCCACCTCTAACCTGGAGCTCTTCATTTAAAGGAGCTATTAACTCTTCTGTTAAGTCTCCTGTTAATGTATCTGGTTCTTGCCTTGAAACCACATAAATATTTTTTAAGCACAATATTCTGGGCAAGAAGCACACAGACAGAATGACCACCTTATTTTGCTGTCTTCCCTCCACACCATCTAATTCTTGTGTTTAAAAAGCAAACAAAAAAACCCAGTAAGACCATTTACTTCTATTTCCCTCCTCCACGTCACTCATGGTATCAGAGGTGTTTTTAGACTTTTTCCTTAGAGGCCTCCATAACATTCTCTTCAGGGCTGAGCAGTCTTCACTACACAAGTCCTTCCAGGTTTTTGATGAGCTTTCCCTAAACCTTCTCTAGTCCTTCCACTTTTTTTTTGAGGTAAGGAATAAAACTTACATGAAACACATGTAAATTCAGAAATTGGTATAAACATTGACTGTTTTCTTCCTTATTCCCCTGATTGTGTCAGTCCTGATTAGTTTAGCACTAGAACCATATGGCATTCTCCATCTTTGTCAGCACTTATTTTATTAATTCTATAACTTCACAGAAAAATGTCTCGGCTTCAAACAAAAGCTCTAGACAGTCCCCATAAAGGAAGGCTCTTTAGCATTAGAACAAATTCCAGAGAGCACAGCAAAAATAATTTGGCTTTTGGACTTTGATTCTCTTTTCTGAGCACTACTTACAAATTTATTATCTACTGGCCAGAGAGTCTCTGTTTAAACATGGATTTATTGCCCACTTTTAACTATTTTATGCATTGTTCTTAAAGCTCTCTCTTCACCTACCGTGTTGTGGTTTTGTATTGAAACTACAACAGCTTGAAGCCCTATTAACACTCTCCGTTGCATTTTTAGATGCATTATTACAGGTATCAGCAAAACGGCTATAAGTTTTTATACCTTAACTGTGCACACTAGCATCATGATCTGAACACAAAATAAGTAGTTTAGTTTCTTCAGCCTCTGCTTTAAAGAGCAACACTTCTGGGTATGTCCAGCATTTCTTCCTTTCTTACACTGAGAAGTGAATAATTTTACAAGAATGTACAGCATTGCTATATATCCAGTAGGAGCAGGATTTTCCTCATCAGATCATATTAATATATTATGTTATAAAATTATTTTCATCCAGAGAAAGAATTGAGTGTTTACGGGAGGAAAATCTTAGAGCAGTAGAGCATTTGATTAAAGAGACTTTTATACGTATCCAAAGGAAAAAAGTCTGTGTTCCTACTTGTTTCATCTCTTTCCTGCTTGGGATGATCCTTCTTCCTCTTTTTACTCTTCCTGGGAGATTCTGTTTCTGGATGCACTAGTCCACTAATCACAAGCCCTCCTGAAACATAAGGAATTTAAACAAAGTCCACTAACTCATAGTAAATTTTAAAGAATGCAAACTTGCACAACCAACCAGTCTTTCAATTGAGAATAAATTTCCTTGATGCTGAACTTTTCAGATCGCTTTAGAAAGCCAGAACAAACAAAAAAGCTTTTCCACATTAAGTACATTGGAGTGAAATTCAACTTGATTGTTTTGAAAATGATTTGATCAAATTTCAGTCAAAGAATATTTCAGAAAGCCATGACATGCAAGTAATTTTTAAGACAAAATACCACTTTTAGGGACAAAAAAAAATTACTATTTTTGAGCAAACTAATTAATTAGGAAAGGACTAAACTAGGCTGAACTGTCAGTGAAAAAAATTCCTGAGAACAAGATCTATTTTCTCACTTAAGGTATTTAACACTGAGACTATAAAATGTTATAGTATCTGCTCTGATAAACAATCCTCACACAAGAAGAAATGCTCCAATGAATGATCCTGTAGATTGTCTCTTTTCCAGTATGATACAAAAATCTCGGACATAAAACACTCACTCGTACAGAGAAACTCTTCTGTTCTTCCTTCAACAATAAAGGCAAAAGTATTTAACAAGCTCTGCTGATACTATTTTCAGCTGACACGGGAGTGTCGGAAAAGAAAACTACATGGAGAGATGACTAACTGGTGACTACAAATAATCTTTTAAAAAAAGTTACCCAATAGTAAGCATCTAAAAGCTTTCACAGCACACGATCAACCCACAGATTTCTTTTTTGCTTTATCAGAATGAAGCAAATAGGTATTTTGGAACTAATACCTGAAGAATCCATAGTATAATTTATGCGCTCTCCTCTCCAATATTCCAGAGGTCTCAGCCGTATCCTTTTAGTCCGACGAACATTAGGTGTGTTGGAAGGCATTACTAAGTTAAAGTATGAAGTCATTCACATTAAGTATGAAAGAAAAATTCAGAGACAAAACATTAAGTTTCTTTCTTCTTGTTCTGTACCACAAGAGTGTCAGCACTTCCCAGCTGATATTTTTATCACACTGCTATCAGGACAAGAAAACAGAATTCAAGTATTGCCAAATGCCTTCTTTCGCATACATCAGTATTTCACCCTTCTTTTTCTTACACAATCATCACCCGGACTTGACATTAGATTTCATTCTATCTTAGTGAACCACTAATACAAAGACATTAGGAGCTCAACGACAGCAAACATGCTACACCTGTGAAGACAAAGCTCTTGACAAAAGCTAAGAAACCTGTTTGAATCTGAGGGATTTCATTAGCAACCATGAAAAGGAACTGCCTTTGTTATGGGAAGGGGAAGGTAAGTTAAGTGCATCCTTCTCCTCCAGATTTCAAAATCCTATTTCCAAAGTCCAGAAGAGCAGCACTTCTGCGAAAAGAAGCTCTATACAGTTCCATGATTTCTCAGATATTTATCTTCAGATGTACTAATCACATAGTCTCAACTTTCAAGTTGTGTAAGCTGCCATATATGAACACAGTATATTTTAGTGTTTGTAAGAAACAGTAAAAGCCCCTTAAGATCACAGAGCAAATTAATCAAGAATATTGAAATGTTAAAAATGGGAAATAGAAAACAGTTGCTGAAACAGTTTTAGAAGGCAGACAACTAAAATGTGCATAAAATAATAATGAAGCCAATAAAAAACACCCACAACATAAAACAGACAAGCATGGGACTACAACTGACTGCATGCCCATTATTCCATCCAATCCAGACTCAGACCACCACAGAAAGCAGGTTACTTGCACCCTCAGTTTTACTGCATAAAACCAGTTCAAATTCTTACTGTTCTCACTGAACAGTAAGTTTGTCCTGCCTCAGCTTTTTAGTACTACATTCAGTGCACGGGTGTGCAGCTGCAGTGTCAGCCAGAGATTGAGCTCTGCATGAGAGCCTCAGGCAAGAGGTCATGAACTGATGCTGACCCTTTGAACAACACCAGGCACAGAGACCTGTGACCCTGCCTGGTGACCAGACACTCAGGGACACAGCAGGAGCCAAGGACTCATCTGGAAGGACCAGCAGGACCCCAGACTGTCAAGCACTGTGAAATGTGAGAGTACAAAAGCTCAGAGAGTGCTTTGTTCCAAGCTTAAGCTGTTATTCCATTATTCCATTCAATTAAATTACTTAAAGGAACCAGAGGTCTGAGACTCTGCTATGGGAAACACAGGGTCAAGCCAGCAAGAAAACCTTGTCTGGCTGTGTAGGGAATCAAATGGGGCACCTGTTAGGGCACTGGAGCCAACCACTGTAAAGGGGTCTGAGTCCTAGGACTTAAAGTCTGTGGTGGTGGTAGGAGCATGACTGCCAGAGTGGCTCCTGGATGGTCACACCTGAAAGTTTCCTTAACACAGTATCATGAAAAATGGAAATGTGGCAGTTAAAAGGATAATTGTTGAAAAAAAGTTTTAAAAAATAACTTTAAAATTAAGAGAAGGGCTGTTCTTGAAGAAATAACAAAACCTATCTGTAAATACTTATGAACAGATGAACCCATTTCAAGGTGTTTGCCTGTCTCTCCTTCAGCAACATTTACATCAAGTTGAAAATGCATCTGCATTTACACACACTATATTTTAAAATACTCTTACCTATTTTATGCCTTGCTATTTCGTCTGACAACAGATGTCTTAATTTGTAATTCAAATCTTCAGAATTATCTGAAAAAACATTCAAGAATCCCACCACCAAAGGCATTCATTATTCCGGACTTCTATTCAATATGTCAGCTAGAAGCAACCAAAATTAACACAAATAGAAGTCCCGAGGATAGCACTTCCACTAACATCTTCTGCTATAAAAATATATGAAATCCAGTATAGATAAACAGTATCTGTAATTAGTTTTAAACAGAGTAAACCTTAAAATTACTTGAAAACTATATATTCAAGTAAAAACTCCTCAGACCGATCCCTCTTGATATACACATAATTTTACTGATCCAAGTGCAAGGTCACTCCGATTTATATCACTCAAACAGGATTTTAGAACAAATTTTTTTACCAGAACACATGAAACTCGGTATCTGAAGAAAGCATTGCATGGGCTAATAACATTAACGTCTAGCTCAGAAACACTAATGAAAAGACCTCGTATCTCCAGGGTTCATGTTCATTACAACAACACGTGGAACTTGCGTAGTGAAATTTAAAACTGAAACCAAATAAATAATAATAACCCTCCCCACACAAAATCAAATAACTAACAAAAAAAATCCCTAACACAACAAAGCAAACAAAAAAAACCAAACAAAACACTCCCCCCCCCCAAAAAAAAAAACCCAAACAAACACCAAACCAAAGTATTCTTTGGCAAACAGGCCAAAATCATGCTGTAATTTGGCTCAGGTTTGCCTGAAGTGACTGCATACCGGACCATCACATAGCAACACATCAAACTGGTACAAACTGAGCCTGAAAAATTTGTTCAATGTATTTTAGAAATCAAAACTTTATCATGGTAGGCATGATGCCTACCCATGAAGGGCCATGTTGTCCCAAAGCTAACAACATAAAGTTGGCATGCTGTATCACAGTACCACACACTTGGATAGAAATGTAAACACAGCCAATAAAATCTGCATTTCTTGTTCTGGACAAGCCGAATACAACATAAATTACTGAACTGTCAGTTATAGTTTATAAAAAACTTATACATAAAATGCAAGGAAATACCAAGTTTAAACATTACCTGAAGATGTATCATCCTGTCCAGGAGATTCAGTGCTGGAAGCAAATTTATCATAATCTTCTTGAGCAGGCCCACTGCAAGCAAATTTTTCATAATCTTCTAGAGCAGGCCCACTGTAAAGAAAATACATACATCTGCTTGAACATGTTAAGTGTCAAAGGAACATTACAGCACTACCAAAAATAGTGAATTGAAATTTTTTTCAGATCATGTGGGCTGCATTTTATTTTGCCTTTAAACAAGCCTATGCCAATTGCAAACTGAAGCAAATGACTACTCCTTAGGAATCACAGGTCAGAAGTTCATTAACTACTCCTCTACTCAGTCACCAGGCAGACAGTTAGTGTTCACACCTCCTAAGAGGTTTCCTAAACTTTTTTCTCCATTCCAGAACAGACCTTCTCCTCACCCTCTGTAGCATTACCTTACAAACCATTTTCTATATACCATAATTATAGAAGTGCTTTAAAGAGTTGTTTTGCATACTCTAAGGAAAGGACAGTAAAATAGCTTTTCATATGTAGTCTGTCATGAAATCTCCCCTATAAAATGGCAACAATTTACATGTATAACTCCAAAAGAGATGATCTAGCAATCAAGCCACTTTTAACAGAACTTTTTCTACAGCCTTAGACTCAGTACCCTTGACCTTCCTTCTTCCCCCATCTGAGGCTGTGCTTCACTGCTTTTACTGTGCCAGGGAAGTTCAGCTGTTATCCACCTCAACTCCAAAAGATGCATTTCAATTACCGAGATTACTCTACTTACACTACACTACTTACTAACTTACACTACAAATTTGTCCAAGACAGTCTGCAGTAGGTTTCCTTAGAATTAAAGCCGCCAACATTTTCAGTAGAATGACTGCATAAGAATTTAATGAATTCACAGACTGCCACTCCTGTTTGTTTTGTTATTAAGTCCTCATCTCACAAAAGGGGAAGACACATGTCTATGTGCATGCACAAAGTTTGGATTGTAGATGGAGTTCTACACCTTGCTTGACATCTATTTTATTAGTGCAACTGTCATTAGTTCCAGGAGCACTGGTCTTTCTGTTCAAAAAGTACACTAAGAGTAAGCTAATGTGGAAGCAAGCCTCAAAGGAAAGAAATCCCCAAAGGCAAGAAGCTTATTATGACCCCTTATTCATGACAGGAAGAAAAACTGTATTACTTTATTAACTGTATTAGCACAGTATTTAAAGCCCTCAAGCACAAATCACAATCCTGTTCTACTCGGTGTTTCACCAGTAGGGTACAGAACACAGCAGCTGTACCAGCTGCCTAGTCTCACTCACGGGGTCTCAGTGGGGCAGAAGTAGAATTAAACTAACATTTTTCAAACAACTTAGGAAATTACCTTTTGCAACTCACAGCCTTCTCAGCTACAAAGGAATCCCTAGAAAATAAAAAACTTTTCTTATTACATTTGGAGTTAAGTAAACTTAATGAAAGTAACCTGTAGGCCTGTAATTTTATATTCTGAACAAAATGATAAAAAAGACATTAAAAAAATTAAAAAGCAATGCAAAGACCAATGATTATAAACCGGATTTTAGACTACGTGAACTTAAGTCCTTACATTGACAAAAATAAATATAGATGAGAATGAAATGCTGTATTTTCTAAACTTATTTTTAAAAAGGAACAAACTTAACAGCAAAGTTATTTTGTGGGTGGTAGGGTTGTGTTAAACTGGATCTGCTATGCAAGTCTAACCAGAATACTCTAACAAGAAAAACTTTCCTCATGTAGGAGACACTAAATATGGCACCTAGCCTTGAGAAAAGAATGTTGATTAAACTGCTTGGTTTCTCTATTAACTATTCAATCAGTCTCAAATTAACACATACTTCAATTGGGTCATCACTGCTTAAAAGCTGACAAGAAATGTTTAGTTATCTACAAAGTTATACACCACTTGTAATACACCACTTCCAATTTGTAAGGAATTACACAAAAAGCTTACTGTGGTCCATGCCGCCTGTTTTGTTTTCTTTTGTTACTTTTTATTTTCACATCTGGTAACTTGGGTTTTTTCCTTGGCATGTCCTGTACAGAAGAGCTGTCAATATCTGTTTGAGATCCAGTGTCTTCAGAGCTTGAGCAAAGAGCTTTACTGGCTCTGCATGGAATCTTACGGGGTATCTTCTCTGCGGACTTGGCAGACAACCATTTCTTTTCAGGATTCTTCACACTCTCCATGGGATGCTGGAGTGCTTCTAGAGGAGTTGCTGTATTTGCACCAACAGGTGACTCCGGTGCGTGTAATACATTTCCAGGCTTTTTGGATTTAGTCAACTTCTCAATCACAGGAGTCTCTAATTCCTGATGCAAGGGTGTGGTGCACACTTTATTCAATTTTAGAGGCTCTCTTTCAAGCTCTTCTTCGCTAGACTCACTGTCAGAAAGCTCCTCTCTTTGTAACTGACGCTTTTTA